TTCCGAAGCAGTAAATCTTCATAGAAGTAGATTGAGATTGCCTAGTCTTCCTTCCATGGAGTGGCTGGTGAGTTTGAACTGCCAACCTTCTGGTTAGTGGCCAAATGCCTTAGACTATGCCACCAGAGCTTCTTAGATTTTGTGTTAGTGTCTTACATTGGACACTTAATGACCCATTATTGATACATTATATATCAACAGCACATAACAACATTAACTAAAATCCATAGTTTACATGAGAGTTTGTTCTTTGTGTTATACAGTTCTGAGTTTTGCCATATGCAGAATGTCATATATCCACCATTAATATATCATGCCCTTAAAATGCTCCATGCTTCTCCTATTTATCCTTCCCTTTCCTCTTCCCACTGGCAACCACTGATAGTTTTAATGCTTCTATAGTTTTGCCCTTTCTAGAAAGTCATGTAGTTAGAATTATGCAGTACAAGCTTTTTCAAACTGGCTTCTATGTGTATTTAAAGTTCTTCCATGTCTTTTCATGGTTTAATAGCTCTTTTCTTTTTCTCACTGAAGAATACTCCACTATATGGATGTATTACAGTTTGTTTATCTACTCACCTATTGAAAGGCATCTTGGCTGCTTCCAGTTTCTGGCAGATATGACAAAGCTACTATAAATGTTCATGTGCAAGTTTTTGTGTGGACATAAGTTGTCAGTTCACTTGGGTTTCAACTCACCTAGAAGCATGATTGTTGGATCATATACTACGACTATGTTTAGCTTTTTAAGAAACCTCCAGTCTGTCTTCCAAAGTGGCTGTACTGTTTGCATCCCCATCAGCAATGAGTGAAGGTCTCTATAGCTCCACATACTTCCCAGCATTTGGTGTTGTCCATGTTTGGGATTTTGGCCCTTTGGATTGGTGTATGTTGTTGTTATGTGCCGTCGAGTCGGACCGAACTCATAGCGACCCCTCCTTGAGTTTCCAAGGCAGTATCACTACAGAAGTAGATTGCCTAACCTACCTTCCCAGGAGTGGCTGGTGGGTTTGAACCGCCAGCCTTCTGGTTAGTAGTCAAATGCCTTAGGTACTATGCCACGAGAGCTCCCGTATAGTGCTATATCATTGTTTTAATCTTCAATCCCCTAGTGACATATGATGTGGGACATCTTTTCATATGTGTATTTGCCATCTATATATCTTCTTTGGTGAGGTGTCTGTTGATATCTTTTGCTTACTTTTTAAATTGATTGTTTTCTGTGTATATTTTAGATATAGTATTTTGCAAATATTTTCTCCCAGTCTGTGGCATGTCTTTTCATAACAGAGGCTTTCACAGAGCAGAAGTTTCGTTTTTTATTTTTTTATTTATTTTATTTATTAGGATTTGGGTGAAGATTTACAGAGTAAATTCACTTTTCATACAGCAGTTCACATATACTTTGTCTCATGTCATTGACCAAAATTTACAATGCAGCAGCTCCCCTCCCACTTCCTCCCCATAGTTAACTTCCTCCCAGTGTCCATCCCTTCATACTCTTCTGCACCCTGAGCTATCTCCCTGTGCATAAGCAGCCCTTCCTTCTCCCATGATTGTTCTCTCCAGGGCATGTGTCTACTTGAGGTAAATGTTTAACTCACATGCCTGTACTTTGTTTGGCTGGAAACCACAGTTGTGGGTTCAATTCCAGACCTGAAGGGCAGCTAGGGGCCATAGTCAGTGGTTCCACCAGGCTCTACTGGACCAGCAAACCTGGTCCCCACCTTCTTTTTTTTTTTTTTTTTGCCTCCAAATGATTTTGAGTTTTGTTCCACATTGTTCTCCCTCTTTATGCAGGATCTCCTACATCCCTTCCAAGTGGATGGCAGTGGTAGCTGGGCACCATCTAGTTCTTCTGGTCTCATAGTTGTATAGGTTGCAGATCGGATGGTGTACCAGTCGCTAGGACTGATTGTTTCCATTAATTTTGGTTTTCTTCTTTCTTCTTGACGAAGAGAGACCCGTTGTTGCATCTAGATGGCAGCTTCCTAGCTTTTAAGTCCCAGTCGCTACTCGCCAAAGTAGTAGGTGGAACAATGTTTTGTATAGTATGTTATGCCAATTGAGCTTGATGTCCCCTAGAGCAGAAGTTTTTAATTTTAATTAATTCCAGCTTACCAATTTCTTTTTTAATGGATCATGCTTTTGGTGCCACAGCTAAAAAACTTATTGTCAAACCCAAGGTCACCTAGATATTCTCTTATGCTGTCTTCTAGAAACTGTATGGCTTTGCATTTAGCATTTAGGTCTGTAACCCATTAGGAGAGCATTTTTGCTGAAGGCCAAGATGACTTGAAGCACCTACTGATGAAGATCAAAGACTATAGTCTGCAGTATGGATTACACCTCAACGAAGGAAAATGAAAATCCTCACAACTGGACCAATAAACAGTATCATGATAAACGGAGAAAAGATTGAAGTTGTCTAAGATTTCATATTACTTGGTTCCACAATCAACACCCATGGAAGTAGCAGTCAAGAAATCAGAAGATGTATTGCACTGGGTAAATCTGATGCAAAAGACCTCTTTAAAGTGCTGAAGAGCAAAGATGTCTCTTTGAAGACTGAGGTGCCTAACCCAAGCCATAGTATTTCCAGTCATCTCATATGCATGTGAAACCTAGACAATGAATAAGAAAGACTAAATAAGAGTTGATGCTTTTGAGTTGTGGTGTTGGCAAAGAATATTGAAAGTACCATGGACTGTCAGAGAACTAACAAATCTGTCCTGGAAGAAGTGCAGCCGGAATGCTACTGAAAAGCGAGACTTTGTCTCACCTACTTTGGTCATGTTGTCAGAAGGGACCATTCCCTGGAGAAGGATATCATGCTTGGTAAAGTAGAGGGTCAGCGAAAAAGGGGAAGACCCTCAATGAGATGGATTGACACAGTGGCTGCAACCATGGGCTCAAGCATAGCAAGGATTGTGAGGATGGAGCAGAACCAGGCAGTGTTTTGTTCTGTTGTACATGGGGTCACTATGTATTAGAAACAACCCAACAGCACCTAACAACAACAACATCTTACCACAAAAAAGATCTCTTTCCATCTTCTTACCCCTTTCAGAGATAGGCTGTTTCTTGTTGTCAGTGCTAGGGCCATGGCAGGCACAGGGGAGATTTCTTAGTTCTCCTGGATAAGCCTTAGTCTTAAGTAGGACCTGTGGGCCAGGCTCTCTCTACATTCCTGTTCCACCCTTCTATGACAGCCAAACACTGTCTTACATTTATCTTGGGTCATATCTAACCCTCCCCTAGCTGTACTGACCTCTGTTTTGTACTGGGCCCAAGGGAATTTCCTCCCCATCTCCTAGGGGCATATAGCTTTTTCTTCTTCCTTTTTTCCAGAAGCATGGAATCTTTGCCTGGAGTGTGGGGGTGGAAGCCTTTCCTGAGCCTCCCCAGTGGCTAATGCAGTTTTGCTTTGTATGAGAAAGGGGTGTGGGAAAGGGGGAGGGATTTTGTGCCAGCCCCCCCAGTGACAGCCTGCATGCCTACACCATCAAAGAAGGCTCTTTCTGGCCTCCTGCCCTGCCCCCAATCATCCTTGTGGGCCCTGTGGAAAAGAGCTTGCAAATAAGTACTAATGTCCCTCATGCCTGGGACTCCTTAATGTTAGAAACCATCACTCCAGCCCACATTTGACCTTTACGAATTCATTAACATTTTAGCTGCTTTCTTTTCACCCTCTATTATGCCAGCCCCATCTTCCTCTTGTGTATTACCAAGGTACGACAGTTCTGGACTGGTATCTCCTTGGAGGGGCTCGTCATTCTCTGGAATTCCATTCAGTTGGTTGCCAGGTAACCTCAGCTCTCTGATAGGCTTAAGAAAAGTTATGATTTTGTAGATTATCTGGCTTTCCTCATTGTTAGCATGGGAGCAATGTTCTTTTGCAGCTTTCAACATCGTAAGCAGAAGCAGACCAGTTATATATATGTATTTTTTTTTCCAATGTGTAGTGTTTTATGCTTAAAACCATGCACATAAAGGATTTTTAAGATGCTTTCTCTACATGCAATTTATACCTTATTAGTTGATGTTAGAAGGAGCTCTGATGGTGTAGTGCCTCAAGCATTTGACTGCTAACCAGAAAGCTGGACGTTCAAACCCAACAGCCACTCTGCGGAAGGAAGACTGGGCAATCTACTTCATAAAGATTTTCCACCTTGGAAACCCAAAGGGGGTTGCTATGAGTCGGAATCAACTTGATGGCAGTAGTTTGGGTTCTTTTTGAGTTCATGTTAGAAACTGACCCTGCATAAGGTTCAAGGGATATCTGTCCCATGGGGTCTCACAAGGCACATAAAGTGTCTAGCACAGGGCTTAGCACACAGTAGGTGCTCACTACATGGTTATGATAGTTATTTTCAGTATTATGGGATGCTGTGCAGAGAAGAGACGGAGGTGGGCTACCTTACACTTTATGTGCCTTGTAAAAGAGGGAGACATGCCACCTTATATACTTAAGGTAAGCCAGCAGGCAACTGACAAGGAATTCTTAGACACACTCATGTTTCTAACCATGAGGCATCAAGAGGCACAGAACCAGCTTCCTCCAAAAGTGGTGCATTGTGTTGGGTACTCTTCCTCCAAGGCTCCACCCCAGGCAAGAAGCCAGGAAAGACAGAATTCGGCCATGGGCCTCTGTTGCCCCTGGTTACTGCCATCTGATGCGCTAAGCCTTGTAAGAGACACAAGCATAGAACGGGGAAGTGGCCTGGCACAGAGGGGTCAAATGACTGTCCCTGTGACGACACACAGGTGGTATCAGGACTTAGGTCTGAAGGGACTTGCCTGACTGCATTCAGCCTAGAGCTTGGCATCCTATGGAGCTGGGCACAAGTCCCAGTCCTGCTGCTGACAGGAGGTGGGATTTGGGAAAAGGCCTTTCTGGGCTTTATTTACTTCCTCTGAAACGGAAGCAGTGCCACCCTTTAGAGGAGATAAGACCCCTTGGCCTGAATGTCTCTCCTTCTCCCTGTTCCTGCCCGCAGGAAAACCTGCAGAAGCTGGTCCACATTGAGCACAGCGTCCAGGGCCAAGGGGATCTCCTCCAGCCAGGAAGGGTGAGTGCCGCCACCACTGTGGGTCGGGGCAGAGGGCGGGCAGGCTGGCAAGTGGGCAAGCCTCTGATAAGCCCCATTGTTCAGCTGGGCTGGCCCCAGACAGGCCTGGCTGCAGGTGCTGTTTACCCATGGAGGGAGGGACGCTGGCTCTGCTGGGCTCACCCAGACCCCTGGGCTGCCCCTTGGTGTTTTCCACACCTGCATCTGCTCTCTGGGCATGCCATTTGGGTTCAGTGCTCTCTGGAATTGCTGGAAAAGCACAAAAACTTTCTCTCAATATCCCCAAAAAAGCATCTTTAAAATATCATTCTTTAAGAGACAGATTTACCCACTGTTAAGCTTCCAAATGGAGAACATAAAACTCAGCTCAATAAATGATCAAAAATATGTTCATTATCTGCTATAGCCCGTGAGGAGACAAAAGGATGAAAGACTGTGCCTGGGAGTTTTTATTAAAAATTAGCTTGGATTTCACTGACCCAGGACATTCTGGCATGGGTAATCAGTTTGGTAAATATTAAGCATCCTTTTGTATCCTCCAGAATTAATGGACCTGCAGCAGCTATTCTCAGGCCTTCAGTTGTTTTAGCACATCTTCAGAGGCTCCGTTCTGGATGGTTACTCTCCTTATGGTTGCAAACCAGGGAGGGAGTCATTGTTTGGATCACTCTGTGACCAGAACAGTGTCTGGGACCCTAGGATCCATTGTCATTGAGTTGATTCCAACTCATAGTGACCCCTATTGGGTTTCCAACCTTCGTATAATACTTTCCAGACTTGGTACAATACTTGACAAAGTGCTCCTGGGAGGCCGAGATGCCTATCTTTGGTGGCTTCTCTCACATCCCTGGAGCAGTTCTTAGGGGCTGGGGATTCGCCCACAGCTGCTCTCTCATACCCTGGAGGATGTCATAATCTCAGTTTTCCACTCAAGCGCCTCCCTCCCCTGTTCCTGGCAGTGAGGGGGAAATGTTTCCTACACTTCGTTGGGACAGCTCAGGGAGTCAGCCTGGTCACCGAACTCTGCTTCTCTCCCTGCAGGAATTTCTGAAGGAAGGGACTCTGATGAAAGTAACAGGAAAAAACAGACGCCCCCGCCACCTGTTTTTGGTAAGTACCACGGCCTGGGGCTGTCAAGTTCTGTGAAACTTTCTAGGGCCAGCACTCGGGGACAGCTGGGAGGGGCGGGAAGAGTAGAGCAGAAGAGAATCTTTAGGATGATACTAAAATACTTTCCAGACTTGGTACAATGATGGATGAGCCAAGGGCTGAACCTTTGGAAACCATGAAACTTTCATTTACTATTTAAATGATTGTGATTTTGAGTGAAATGTTGCTAAACTGTCTCTGCCATCAACATCTAAAAACCAGGAAATGCTTAAACTGGGAATAGGTGTCTGGTTCAACCACCTTCCTTAACTCATGAGAAAACCAAAGCCCACAGAGTGAAGCTGACTTGGCCAAGTCACTAGTAGGTCGTTGGCAGAGCCCCAGAAGACGACCAGGATTATGACCCCAGCCCAGCACTTTTTCCACTGCATAGGAGACTGAATGTAACTGAACATTTTTGATGGTTTACAACCAGGACCTTGAACACCAGGGACTGTCTGGGCCATGATGTATATATAGTGACTGCTAAGCTTGAAGAAGCTCTTTGCCTCAAACCTCTGATCCCAAGTTGCTGTGCTTTATAAGTTTTTCTTTCCGCTGAATATAATTTTTCTCTCCACTCTTTCACTTGTAGTTGTCATTGCTTGTTATTATTGGTAATGTCGGCCTCTAACATCCTGGAAACAAAGAGACAAAGTCACATTCCCTGATCTCATCCTTTATAGTCTAACGGGAGAGAGAAACAATGAAACAGACTATTGTAAATATAAAGTCACAAGGATGCTATAGAGGGAATCTCTGGGAGCCATGTAAACAGAGAGGACCAAGGACAGTCAGAATGAAAAGAAGGTGAATAATAGTAACATCAGCTGCTGATGTTTGTTGAGTGTTGACTGGGTGCTATGCACTATGCTAGGAAGCAGTGGTAGAGGTTAGTGGTAGAACTCTTGTGTTCTGTGCAGGAGATCCAGTTCAGTTCCCTAATTACACACCTCAAGTGCAGCCACTACCCAGCTATCTGTGGAGGCTTGCATGTCGCTATGATGCTGATCAGGTTTCAGCAGAGCTTCCAGACTGAAACAGACTAGGTAGAAAGGCCTGGCAATCTACTTTGGAAAACCAACCAAGGAAAACCCTCTGGATCTTAACAGTTCAATCTACAACTGATCGTGGGGATGGTGCAGGACAAGGCAGCATTTCATGCCGCGGTAAATGAGGTGGCTGCGAGGGGCTGACTCATAGGCACCTAACAACAACAACACGGTATGCCAAGTGTTTTATGTGTTCCCTGGAGAAAAATGATACCTGAGCTAAGCTCTGAAGGAAGAGGATAGGAGTTTGTCAGGTGCATAAAGGAAGGGCATTTCAGGTAGAAGGAACAAGTATAGAGGTGAGGTAAGCATGGAGGACTACTATGAATTTCTGAAATCTTTGGCCACAGATGGTTGGACTCTTGCACTCATAAGTCCAGTCTCAGCCATGAGGGCTGAATTTCAGAGAGGGCTGATGGTGCTGAGTAGCTCACCATTCACAGGAGCTTCAGAAGGCCTGAGCCTGGCTGGAAAGGGGGAGTCTGCAGCTGCCCGTTGGTGCACTGGCCTCAGTAGCTTCTTTCCTGAGGCCCAAGCTCAATGGGCCCTTCTGCTCAGAAGGAAGAACAAAGTGAACCAAATTTACTCTCCTCTTCCTCTGGTCCCCACAACAGAGCTCTCTCCCTTCTCATGAGGAGACCCACACTCTGCCTGGCTGGTGCTGCAGTGCAAGGGGGAGCTTTAACTACAGACGAGAGGAGACTAGAGACCCCCAGGAGGACCTTAGAAAAGAATCAGAGGGCCAAGCAGTGCACAACACAGATACGAGTTCTCAGAAGGATCTTAAAGCTCCCCAAATATGTTTGCATCCCTTTGTCAAAGTTTTTTTTTTAATTGTCATTGTTGTTTTAAGTTGCCACTGAGTAGGCTCTGACTCATACCATCCTTGTGTACAACAGAATGAAACACTGCCCGGTCCTGCATCATCCTCACACAATCATTGCCATGCTTGAGCCCATCGTTGCAGCCATCATGTCAGTCCATCTTATTGAGGGTCTTCCCCTTTTTTGCTGACCTTCCAGTGTACTAAGCATGATATCCTTCTCCAAGGAATGGTCCCTTCTGATAACATGAGCAATTTTCCATTTTCATTTTTCAGGTGTACAGTTCAGTGGCATTAAGTTAGATTCCCAGCGTTCTGCAATCATCTTTGCTACATGTTTCCAAAACTTTTCCATCATCTCTGGGTAGCTTTTTGACCTCTGCTTATATATCAGTCTGTTGTAACATTCATCCATTCTGTAACTCCTTATTCATCTTTTACATTCTAGGGTGCCTGCTGGTTTTATAGAACTGGTTCTTGGCCTGTTGTGCATGTTGGAGTCCAGTGAGGAAAGTAGCCTTGTTCCGTGTTAACGAGTTGTCATCAAGTCATCTCTGACTCATGGTGACCCCACGTGTGTCAGGGCAGAACTGCACTCCTTAGGGTTTTCAAGGCTGATTTTTCAGAAGTAGATTGCCAGCCAGGCCTGTTTTCTGAGGTTCCTCTCTGTGGACTCACACCTTTCAGTTAGTGACCAAGCGTGTTAACTATTTCTACCCAGCAACTCCTGTTGCAAGTTAGAGGACTAAATATTTGAAAACTCTGTTGAGAAGAAAGCTATCTCCTGAGCTCTGGTTGCATAGTGGATAGGCATTTGGCTGCTAGCAGGAGGTCAGCAGTTGAAACCCAGCTGCTCCGTGGGAGGAAGCTGGCGCAATCTACTTTACAGCCTTGGAAACCCAGTGGGGGGTTCTGTGAGTTAGAATCAACTTGATGGCAGTGAGGTTTTTTTTTTTTTTTTTTTTAAATGTAATGAGGAGCTCTGTTGGTGCAGTGGTAAAAGCATTCTCTGCTAATGAAAAGGTCAGTGGTTCAAACCCACCAGCTATTCCATGGGAGAAAGATGAGTCAGTCTGCTTCCATAAAGATTTACAGCCTTGGAAATCCTGTGGGGCAGTTCTCCTATGTCCTGTAGTGTCACTATACACTGGAATCAACTCAGTGGCAGTGAGTTTGGCTTTTGGTATATGGTAATGAACCAAACTGAGCTGGTTAGGTTTCTGACTTGATTGCTTATCCCTCAGTAACCCTCTGACAAGTCACAAACATGTTTGAGCCTCAGACTTCCTCCTGGGGAAGTAGAAATACGTATGGCCATGTGGATTAAATGAGAGGCCATGTGTGCCTAGCACACAGAACCTGCTTATCAGTAACATCCTCCCTGCCTCTGCACAGCCCTGCAGAATCGAGTCTGTGTCCCCTTGAGTCCCTTCTCCTCTAGGAAAAAAAGGGGAGCTCATCCAGGGCGTGGATGAGGAGTGAGGCCTTTGGAGTCAGATTGCATTTAAGTCCCAGCTCTGATATTCCCTAGTGGGAAACCACAGGCAGGTCCCTTCCCTTCTCTTTAAAACAGGGGGAATGATTCCACCTGTAAACAAGGGAAGCATGTGGAGCATGGTGGATCAGCACAGGCTTCATCATCCAGCTGTCCCCCATCTGGCTGTACTCAGCCTGTCTCTGTTCCTCTTGCAGGGACCTTGAATGCTAAGCAGAGTTGCTTTCAGTCTTCCCCGTCTCTCCTCACCTGGCGTCTTCTGCCTGTCTGCCCAGAACTCTACATCCCAGCTGCTCTGAGATGCTCACATGCCACCTCTTACTTGCAGCCTGCCTGCCTTCCCTCCCCCATGCCAGTATGGCCCTCCATCTTGGCATTCCTTCCACTATCATGGCAGCCTACATCTCTGTGATTCCCTGCTGTTATTGTGCCACAAGCTTCCCAGGTCAGAACCTGGGTCTCCTCTCTGTCCCAGCATAAGACCTGTCAGGAGTAAGTATAAATAGTGGGTAGAGGGATAGATGGGAGAAGGATGGACAGCTAGGTTCTGGAACCAGGAAGCACCATGATGAATACACTTGAGGAAGAATCTGTCTTCCCCCTGAGGTGCCAGTTTCACAAAATAGCCATAGTTGCAGAACAAGGTCAGGGCATCTGCCCCCAGTGTACCAGTGTAACCAGAAGGAAGGAAGGTTGGGCAATCTACTTCTGTAGTGATACTGCCTCGGAAACCCAAGGAGGGGTCGCTATGAGTCGGGTCCAACTCCATGGCACATAACAATAACAACAACATGGAAAGGAAGCAGCTCACCATATCCCCAATACTTCTCTGGCCAGACCTGGTAAGCAGGCTGCCCTCTGCAGCTCATGATTGTGGGAAGCCCCTTACCTCTCCATGAAGAAATCCTCCTTCACCCAGAACAGAGTTGTAAGCACACACTTTGAAGTAAGCATGAGAGCCACCAACAGCCCACAATTAGGACAGAGCAGGGTCCTGAACCACAAATAAAACCTTAGGCAGCATGTGCCTGAGGGCAGCCCCAGAAAGGCTGGGACTGCACTGGCGAGTTACATGGTTTCCAAGGGTGAGAGGTGTTCATGAGCAAGGCTCTATGACCAACTTGGATCAGTGTCCCCAGTTAAGGGCCAGGATTCACTGCAAGACACTTCCCCTCAACTCCACAATGCTCTCCTGTAGGAGAGACACACTCACTAATTTAGAACCCTGGCTCCACTACCTACTAGCTTGGTGACCTTGAGCAAGTTGCCTAGCCCAGTTCCTCCCTCTGTGAAGTGGGGATGATGATAGTGCCTGCTGGATAAGATTACTGGGGGAATTAATTGAGATCATTCATGTCTGGCACAAAGTAAGACATGTCCAACGTAAGGTAGCTGTGTCATTATGAGTAGGGCAGAGTAGGAGGAGGGGGCTTTGAGGACGCCTCTAGCCCAGTCACACCTGCTTTTTTACCTGTCCTCTGGGGCTACTTGCCTGCTACTGTGGCAGAGCTGAGGACTGCAATAGATGACCCAGAAAGCTGAAAATATCTGCTCTCTGCCCCTTTACAGAAAATGTCTGCCAACCCTTGGTCTAATCCAACCCCATTAAAGACAGTATCTCCCAGAGAGAGGAAGGAACTGCTTGAAGCCACTTGGCAGGTCATTGTCCAGGCCAAGCTGGAGCCCAGGTCTCCCACTGCTATGCCTGCGACCCTGGGGCTCCCAAAAGAGCTGGTGCTGGGAGGACTCATGCCTCTGTCCTCTGAGCATACTGTTGGGAGATAGGAAGGGTGGGAATTGTCAATCCTGACTTCTTCCTCTGGCTCAGGCACTGCTCAGTCATTCATACACTCCTGGCTTATGTGGGCTGCTATTCTCAGAGGGTCTCCTGGGTGTTGGCCACTCTCTTCGTATCTGTCATCAGGTGAGGACGGTGGTGCTTCCCCATTTCTCAAGTGAAGAAGCTAAGATTCAGAGCAGGGAAAGGGCTTATCCACAGCCATACAGCTGGAAAAGACCATGGTTAGGATAGACAGCCCTTGTGCCACTCTGAGGGTGACACTTTCCTTCAGACTTTACACCTTGGAGCTAAGCACAAACTCTCTCCTAAGGAGAGTTGTTGTATCTGCAGTTTGTTCCTTTAGATTGCTGAGTAATGTTCCATTGTGTGAATGTACCACAGTTTGGTTATTCTTGTACCTGTTGATAGACATCTGAGTTGTTGCTAGTTTGGGGAGAGGAGAGAGGAATAAAGCTGCTGTGAACACTCTTTACATGACTGTCTGTGGGCATGAGCATTTATTCCTAGGTGTGGAATTACGGGGAAGGGGCTCCTATTTTAACACAGCGTACTGTTCGATGTGGGGTAGCTGCTGTCATTAGGAGCGGGAGAGAGTTCTAAGTTTCCTCTTGTCTGGCCTGCCTGTTCATTTGCATACAGTTTACATAGAACTCTATGGGGGTCACTGGGAGATGCAAGATGCCTTTGCACCCCAAGGCCCAGAGACTCCTCCATGAATAGAAACCCAGTGCAGCCTTCTGGGACCAAGAACCCTCTGACATGGTTTTCCCTCTCCCCAGATGAGTGATGTGCTCCTCTACACTTACCCCCAGAAGGATGGCAAGTACCGGCTGAAGAACACATTGGCGGTGGCAAGCATGAAGGTAGTGCCTGGTGCTAGGCACTCCAGGATGGGATGGAGAGGAGACCTCGGGAGAGGAGGAGATCCTGGGGAACAGGGAATCCCAGTGGGGGAGGAGGGTACCCAAAGAGGAGGGGATGCAAGGAGAAGAGCCTTGGGGAGGAGTCCTGCCTCTAAGAGCACACAGAGCAGCTGTGCAGAGACCTTGAGGAAACAGTGTTAAATTGTGGATTACAGTGGGTTTATGCTAGAGATAGTCCAAGGAGAGGAGAAGGTGAAAGGGAGAAGGGGAGCTTCCTAAGAGAAGGGGAGCTAAGTCCCTTAGAGTGGATTATATTTGAACAAATAGGCAAGAGGGAAGGGCATGCTAGGAAGGGGAAAATGCCTGAGGAAAGACTTAGAGGTAGGAAATAAGCAGGGGTTTGGTCAGTATTTCTTGAACAAATGCAGGAGAGTTGCCAGCTTGACTGAAAGTCTTGTGGGGAGGCCAGAGAGACAGGAAGGGGCCTGGTCATGTGGGGCCTAGCTCAGAGCAACTTTGTCCTGAGGACAAGAATGGTTAGGAGCTAATGGGGATTCTTTGTAACTGCAAATGAAAAATTATAGTGGTAAAATATATAGCATAAAATTTGCTATTATAACCCTTTTAAGTGTACAATTCAGTGACATTAATTACATCCACAGTGTTGTAAAATCTTCACCGCTATTTCTAAAACTTTTCATTACCCCAGATACTTCGTACCCATTAAGTCATAACTACCCATTCCTCTTATCCATAGCCCCTGATTACTTGTAATCTACTGTATTTGTTATCTACTGCTACTATTAACAGAAATACCAAAAGCAGACAAACAGGAATTCTCTCACAGTTTAGGAGGCTAGAACTCTGCATTCAAGGCACAAGCTTCAAGGGGAGGCTTTCTCTGTCGACTTTGAGGGAACCTTGTCATCAATCGTCCCGAGTCTGGGAGTTTCTCAGCACAGGGACCCCAAGTCCAATGGACACAATCCACTCCCAGCTCTTCCTTCTTGGTAGTAGTCGGGTCCCTCCTTCTTTGCTCACTGCTCTCTCCTTTTATCCTTGTACAATGAAAGGTTATAACTCCCGTTAGATCAGGGCCGTGACCTGAGTAAGGATATTACATCTCATCCTAATCCTCTTACAACCTGGCTGATCATATCATGGGGATGATTACATTATTACTTAAGGGCCAACTTACTTGATTACATAACTACCAATGAGAATCATGTGTCCAGCCAGGTTGATACATATTTTGGGGAACACAATTCAATCCATGACATCTACTTTCTATCTATGAATTTACCTCTTCTAGATATGTCATATCAGTGGAGTCATACAATGGTTTGTTCTTTTGTGATAGACTCATTTCAACTCACCATAACGTTTTCAAGGTTTAGCCATATTGTAGCATGTCTCAGGACTTCATTTGTGTTTATGGCTGAGTAATGCTCCATTGTATGTATCTACCACATTTTGTTTATCCATTTCTCTGTTGATAGACAGTTGTTTTAGCTATTGTGAATACTGAACATTGGAGAACAAGTATCTATTGAGTCCTTGTTTTCAGTCTCTTGGATATATACCTAATGGTGGACTTACTGGGTCATTTGTTTAACTTTTTGAGTAATTGCCAAATTATTTTCCACAGTAGGTGCACCATTTTACATTCCCAGCAGCAATGGATGAGGGTTCCAATGTCTCCATATCCTTGCCAACATTCATTTTCTGTTTTTCTTGTAAGAGTCATCCTAGTCAGGGAGACATGGCATTTCATTGTGTAATAAGTATGCTCAAGGGTTAATGAGGTTTGAGGACATTAATTTTGGCACAGGGTGGAGATGGGGTCAGAGGGAAGCACTGAGGTGGGAGAAAGGATCAGTGAGTAGGTATCATTTCCAAGGGCTGGGGTAGGGATGGTGAGGAGAGCTGTAGGAGGCATTTTGTGGTCTCTGTCACTCCTGTAGGCTCTTTTCCATGGAACCAAAAGTTACACTGAGGAGCCTTTAAAGAAGGCTGTGGAGATAATGGTCATTGAGTGCGCTCACATGTCCAGCAGACCTGTGCAACCAGAGGCTGCTGAGGCTGGCCTTTGATAGTAACCACTTGATGGTCTTCCTGGGACTGGTGCAGGTGGCCAAAGGTCACATCAGCAGCAGCCAGGGCCCACCCACACATCTGCCATCAGAGAAAGGTTTACTCTTTATAGACAATGAAATTCAGCTCAGAGAGGGGAAGTGACTCCAGGAGAAGAATCGTCTGTGGACACCCTTTCCTCCCCACCCTGATGGGGCTGCTGTTGGTTTCCAGGTCAGCCGCCCTGTAATGGAGAAAGTGCCCTATGCTGTAAGGATTGAGACTGCCGAGTCCTGCCTGACCCTGTCTGCAAGGTACAGGGAGGTGGGAGGGCCTAGGACATAAAGTGGCAAAATTTAAAGGTAAAAGAGTCTGGAATAATAAATGCTAGTTAAGTCATCATCTTTATTTTGGTATCCTTTGGGATCAGAGTTTTCTTCTTCAGAGGTTCTTAACCACTTTTGGGTCACAGACTCCTTAGAGAATCTGACAGAACTATGGTTTCTTTCTGCAGAAAAAAATGCATACATGTAAAATTCTGTGTATCACCTCAGGGTCTTCTAGAGCCTATTGTTGAAATATGTAATAACAGTATCTAACGTTATCAAAGGGAGCTCTGGTAACATCGTGCCTAAGGCACTTGACTGCTAACCAGAAGGCTGGCGGTTCAAACCCACCAGCCACTCCTTGGAAGGAAGGTTGAGCAATCTACTTCCATAATGTTACCACCTCGGAAACCAAAAGAGGAGTCGCTATGAATCGGTGGGACTCGAAGGCACGTAACAACAACAGCGTTATCAACAGTCTCTCTCTGTTGGATTTCTGGGTCTTTATGGCAATCTGAAAAAAAAAAATGAGTGAACATTCTTCATTTATCTTTCCAGGTTGAGGGTGGGAAAAGAAGAAAATGTGGCCTTCTTATTTAGGTGAAAAAGAAAAAAAAAAAAAAAAAAGGAAGCCTGTTGTATCAAGCTGCCTCTGGCTCATGCAACCCTATATATGCATTAGAGTAGAACTATGCTCTATAGGGTTTTCAGTGGGTCATTTTTTGGAATTAGATTGCCAGCCTCCCTTCCAAGGTGCCTTGGTGGACTTGAACCACCAACCTTGCAGTTAGCAGCTGAGCGTATTAACATTTGCACAACCCAGGGATGACTTCTGCCAGAAGTGTCTGCATTTTCTCCAGGACCTTAGCTTGCCCAGGGATCCTGCACAGCTCATTTATAGCTTCCCCTGTTCCCTCTTTCAGGGCAAGATGACCTCTTGAACGCTCAGAAACCAGGGAGGTGTGGGTCCTCACGGGGCAGCTGTTAGGTCAGGGCCAGGCATAGTGGGATTTGGGACTGGGTTCCATTGTATGACCGTGGAGTGAGCAGAGGTGTCCTTAGTGGGAAGATAAGTCCTTCTATATGAAGTGCTGGTTCTGGGATGAAAGAAGACACACAAACACTCACAGTCTCACACCCACTATCATCAGTGCATCTGTTCATTAAGTATTTATTAGCACCTCCTCGGTGTCAGGTCCTTTGCTAAGAACACAAAACATCAAGACCTTGTTTTTGCTCAGTAGAAGGCCACAGGATGATAGGAGAGTTGTAGTCTGGCTGTAATGCAGAATAATAACTGCCATAACACAGTGCATCCTATGAGAGCCAGAACTCAGCAGGACTGCTTCGTTTTTCCAGGTCTTGCAGATTTTCCTTCTTTGACAGGTTTCCACCTTACATAGGTTCCGGCTTTTGTGTTTTACTGTGATTAGGGACAGTGATGTACTTAATGGTACTCATGGTGCTGAGCAAACGGCCTCTTCTCTGATCCTTGTCACCACCCTGGGAGGCCAAGATCATAGCCCCTTTCTTAGATCAGGGGTTGTGGCCCAGTTAGGGGTCCATACAGCTGTGTGAAGCAGAACTAGGGACTGACCCCAGGGTTGTGGCTCAGGGTTCTCATCCACTGTGATCTCCTTCCCCAGGAGATAGAAGGTGTATTGGGAATCTGGAGGAGGGGCTTCCTGGGCTGGGCTCCATGGCCTTTCCTTGACCTCTTGGTAAAATCAGGGGCATGAGGAGGCCCAGGATATAGTTTGTGTTTGCCCAGCTATTAGGGTGGTAACTGGCCACACTCCACCCTTCAAGTGAGGCTGTCCATATCCTCCAGGCAGGGACACTGCCCTCTGGCCAGTGGCCTCTAGGAGCCAATCAGATAGGCCCATCACCTTCTTGCTAGCCCAGAACCCTCACAATACAGCTCATAGGGGACATTGGTACCCAGATAGCTCCATTTAACACCATGGCATCTGGTTGCCCAACAAGCCAGTTTGGTCTTTGCTGACCACAAGGAAGAAGATTTACCAAACCTAACCACCTTTCTCACCAGTCAGACTAGTCCCTTGTTCCTCCAAGGTGGCCTGGATCAGGCTGCACACTTATGTGAAGAGTGGAGGCGACACCTGGTGGACACTCTGAGAATTCTCATCCAGCTGCCAGCCTGTGCACTTAGCAGACCCCACCACATGTCCAGGGCAGCTCACTCACCACTCACGCAAAAGAGGAGGAGGAGGGGGTACTTGGAAAGCCTGTTTGTTGGATGAGTGAATGTCTGGGAAGTTATGTGGGAAAATGAGGATGAGGGAGATAGCTTCACCAGCCCTGATCCACCTTTGTCCCTCCTCTTGTGACCAGACCTCTGTCTCCTGCCAGCCTGTCCCTATTAATGGGCAGCTGATAGCACCCCTGGAGTGGGGTTTCCACATTTCCTGGGACTCTGCGGGTCTGGAGAGCCCTCTGAACCTTCATGATGTCCTTGCTTCTGCAGGGTGCTTTGCCATTTACCCACCACCCCTATCTCATCCTCACAACCAGCCAGGGAGTTAGGGAGGCTGCTGTTGCTCCCATGTTATAGGTGCATAAGCAGGCCCAGAGAATTAACCACTGGCCCATGACCTTTTGTTCATAAATGGAGGAGCCAAGATCAAGCCAAGGTCTGTCTGGCAGATGCCCTGGTGCTTTGATTTCAGGCACGTGAAAGGCTCGGATTTGGGACGGGGCATCAAGGGCTTCAGTAGTCCACTGAGGAGCATGCTGGTGGGGATCAGAGCCCTGCACATGCCACTTCTCACACCAGTTGGTACCCACAGCTCCTGTGCAGAGAGGGATGAGTGGTACAGCTGTCTAAGCAGGGCCCTTCCTGAGGACTACAAGGCACAGGCCCTGGCTGCATTCCATCACAGCGTGGAGGTGAGTGGTGGACATGAGCCCCCAACCAGCCTAAGAACTTGGGTTTCCTGGGCGGGGCACCTGGATTGAGCCATCCTACCCAAGTGGACCTGAAGCCCCTTTCATGAGGGTACTTGGTCCTCCTCTCCATTCCCTCTCCCTCTCCCCCTTGCCCTTACCCCACCCCTCAGGTAATCCCAGTACAATCCAGGAACACTGCACCCCCACTTACAAATTCAGTCAAGCTCTGTATCTAACCCCAGGTTAGCATCCTGGGACATTATACAGGGACTGTTTTAAAATCAGAAGCTGCCCTACCCACATATATATATGTACTGTGTACAAAGAAACAAACAGGCTCAGGGGTGAGGCTCACTTGGGCTGCCCATCCAGAGGGTCTGACTATACTGCTGGCCCAATGATTCTGTCGCTCCAGATGCGGGAGCGACTGGGAGTGAGCCTGGGCGAGAGACCCCCCACCCTGGTGCCTGTCACACACGTGATGATGTGCATGAACTGTGGCTGCGACTTCTCCCTTACACTGAGGCGCCATCACTGCCATGCCTGCGGCAAGGTAGGTCCCCTGTTGAGGAAGTATGTGCCTGGGCTGGGGCAGGGGCAGGATGAATATCCCTGCCCAGCTAGAGAGTCGGGCTGACCGTCAGGTACTGAGTGTCAGGCACAGAGCCCTGAGAGGAGGGGTGATTATTTCCATCTTACTGAGGTCCTTAGACCAGAGCTCCAAATCCGTCCCATTCCACCATACCATCATACCCTCCAAAGAAAAAAAAAAGTTACCATCAAGTCATCTCTGACTCATGGGTACCCCATAGTCTTAGGGTAGAACTGTACTCCACAGGGTGTGTAATGGCTGATTTTTCAGAAGTAGATCCTTAGGCTTCTCTTCTAATGTGCCTGAGTGGACTTGAACCTCCAACCTTTCAGTTAGCAGCCTAGCATGTTAATCATTTTTACCACCATCCAGCCAAAGAAAATATTACACTTGGTTACTGTCTTTAGAGAAAAAGATACATTGTCACAGTTAGGTACACAGGCTGACTGGATAAACAAGCTTGAGCTTGCACAAGTGAGCAGCATCTCCCAGAGTGCTCTCTGGAGGAGGTGGGGGTGGGGCAGCAAAGGAAGGGTGAAGACCACTCAGACAGGTATTCCCGACTGGGCCTGTAGATCGTGTGCCGCAACTGTTCGCGAAACAAGTACCCTCTGAAGTACCTCAAGGACCGGATGGCCAAGGTCTGCGATGGCTGCTATGGGAAGCTGAAGAAGAGAGGTGGCGACATTCCGGGCCTGATGAGAGGTAACTGCACGCCTGAAACCCCTTTCCTTGAGAGAAAGTTATTCACCCTGTGGAGGTTCAGGAAAAAAAAAAAACTGTGGAAGAAGGAACACAATAGTTTCAAGTTAGGCTATGGCACTAATTCCCAAAATGTGGTTTCCATGGAAAACTGATAGGTGTTCCCAGAAAAAAGGTTCTGTGGTCATGTACGTTTGGGATGCCCTGCAGTGGTTCTCAAATTTGCTTTCCCATGGTGATGTTAGTTGCCATTCAGTCCCCTCCAACTCATGACAACCCATGTACAACATAATGAAACATGGCCAGTCCTGCACCATCTTTCCGATCGTTGCTCTTCTCAAGTCTAGTTTTGTGGTCATGTGTATTCTGAGGGCCTTCAACCTAAAGGCTCATCTCTCAGCCCTGTGTCAAACAATGCTCTGTGGTGATCCATAGGATTTTTATTGGCTCATTTTCAGAAGTAGATCATAAGACCTTCCTAGTCTTACAACCAACAAGGCAACCGTTGCCGTGGAGTCGGACCCGACTCATAGCGACCCCTCCTTGGGTTTCTGAGGCAGTATCACTATGAAAGTAGATTGCCCAACCTTCCTTCTTAGTCTTACTTTACCATAAAACAGAAACCAAACCAAACTCACTGCTGTTGAGTTGATTCCGACTTATAGCGACCCTGTAGGGCAGAGTAGAACTGCCTCATAGGGCTCCCAAGGCTGTAAATCTTTACAGAAGCAGATTGCCACATCTTTTTGCTGCAGAGTGGCTGGTGGGTTCAAACCTTACTTTTTGGTTGGCAGCTGAGCACATTAACCACTATGCCAACAGCGCTCATAAACAGAAAAAACAAAAAAACCTCACTGCTGTCAAGTCGATTCCGACTCATAGTGACGACCCCCGTTGGGTATCCAAGGCGGTAAATCTTCACGGAAGTAGGTTGCCCTATCTTCCTTCCACAGAGCAGCTGATGAGTTTAAACAACTGACCTTCTGGTTAGCAGCCAAATGTCTTATCTACTATGACACCAGAGCTGCTAGGACCCCCTTTTTTTAAGGGTCCTGTGGGCCTGTGTTCTGTGGTCCCCTTTTGGGGACCAAGGTTGCTGAGACTGATAGCCAAGTGTTTCATGGTGCAGTGATGGGAAGCCAAGCAGGCCCTTCAGAGATTGTGCTTAAGAGTCTGGCTTTGCCCAAGCAAGGCCAGGATGGAGGAGAGCAAGCTTATCATTGACTCTGAGAAGGCAGCAGAAAAAATGGCCTAGGCCCAGCCTCATGCCTTTTAGTGCTCTGAGACCTGGAGAAGAAGAGACTCAGGACCCTGAGAAAGCCTTTCCACCCTCACCCCCATTGCATTTGCCTGTATGAGGAGAAAGGAGGGTACCATCTGTCCAGTCACACTTATCCCCTTAGTTAGGCTGTTTCAGATCTTGGGTGGCGCAGGGAGTGCTGATCTTAGGTGTATATGCTTACCTCCTCCCTCACCACTTCTTTTGGTTATAGAGCGACCTGTGAGCATGAGCTTCCCCCTGTCCTCACCCCGCTTCTCGAGCAGTGCCTTCTCATCTGTCTTCCACAGCATCAGTCCTTCAACCTTCAAGAAACAGAAGAGAGTCCCTTCAGCCCTGGCGGAGGTAAGGCAGGTGGGGCTGCCTGCATGGGAGGCAGCAGATTTGAAAGGTCAGGTGTCCTCCTGGTGGACTAGGTCAGGCTTATGTTACTGAGACCCTTCCTTGTCCCAGTCTCTTCCTGACCAAAAATTCCTAGTGGGCAAGAGTCTGGCTGCAAGAACCAACTCAATACTGAAAATACAGGGCCTGGGCTCTGCATTCCAGCCATTGAAAACAAATCTGACTCCTGACTCCCAGTGGCAGAGGACAAAACCTGAAATGGTTGTAGGTGGAGCATTCTACCAGCTGCTGTTGAGTTGACTCTAACCTCTGTGACAACTTGTGTGTCAGACAGAACTGTGCTCCATAGTGTTTTTTTGTTTTGTTTTGTTTTAAATAATAGTATGTTTTCAGTGAAAGTTCACACAGCAGTTAGGTTCCCATTTGACAATTCCTATACAACTCCCTCAGTGACATTAATTACATTTTTCATAATGTGTCAACCTTCTCTTTAATTGCATTCTGGTTATTCTGTTTCCAGTGCTCTAGTTTCCCTGCCTCCCTTGTCTTCTCATCTTGCTTTAGAGTAATTGTTGACCTTTTGGTTTCATATAGATGTCTTTTAAATGTAGTACTGGCTTATGGGTATTATCCTTTATTTTCTGTGTCAATCTGTTATTTTGCTAAAAGGTGACCTCAGGGGATACTTTTGGTTCAAAGTTTAAAGAGTATCTCAAGGCGATAGTCTCAGGGAGTCCTCTAGTCCAAACTTTTTAAAAATTTGAGTTCTGTACTGTATTTTTTTTTCTCCTTTCTATCAGAGACCATCTATTGTGCCCTTTATCAGAACAGTTGGTCATTGTAGCCAGGCACCATCTAGCTCTTCTGGTCACAGGGTAGATGAGGCTGTGGCTTGTGTATGCCATTAGCCCTGGAAACTAGTTTTTTCTCCGAGACTTTGGTTTCTCTGGGTCTCTTTTGCTCTTGACAGAGAGCACTATTTGTATCTTAGATGGCTCGCAAGCTTTTAAACCCCAGATGCTGCTCACCACATCAGGATGCAGAACATGAACTTTGTGATGGCAGTTGACTGAGTTGTCCCATAAGACTAAGGTCCTAAGCCATCAAACCCAGAAAACCATTCTCACACAGTATTATGTCTAAGAGTATCTGTAACTGTGTCCTCTATGAATATAAGTGGGTGCACACACATACCTGTACATACATATATACTTTTATTTGTGCACATATGTGCTCATCTGTTATCTACTCATACACATATATGCCTATCCATGAAGACATGCTTATTCTTCGATTGTTGGTGTTGTTGCCAAATTAGGTCATATTCGTTAGCAAAAACATCCTTTTCTCTTATCACTTTTTAGTGGCATTTTTTACTTTGGTCAGGCTGTGCATAAGGTTTCCAGCAGCTGATTTTTTGGAAGTAGATTGCCAGGACTTTATCCACCAAGGCACCTCTGGGTGAGCTAGAACCTTCAGGTTTTTTGTTAGCAGTAAGGTTAACCATTTGCCTCACTCAGGAACTCCATAGATATTGCTAGACTTCTTTCCCATCCTTTTTTCCTCCTTTTCCATCTTCTTCTTCCTCTTACCCATAGCCTAGACCTAAGGATGTCTCTAGAGGCTCCTCAAACTTTTACACAGATCACTGGAGATCTTCAGGTCTAAAGGAGTAATGGTCCCAGGTTAGTTTTCTCATACCAGGCTCTCTGAGCTGGACCACTCTACACCTGGGGGGGAGGGGCTGTGCCTTAAACAGGCTCAGGTGTAAGCCTCCCAGGGCAATGGGACTGGCTAAACTTACATCCATCCTGTTAACTAGGAATCATTTTTTGCTAGCTGCAAAGAGAATCAAATTATATGTCTGTTTTCTAATCACAGCCACAAACAAATGTATGCCCATGAATATACAAACTGCCCAACAATATGTGAACAGCTGTTGCCACGTTTTTCCATTGATACTCATTATCAAGTAGCAGGTGGCAGAGGTTTAAAAAGCATAATGGAATGAAAAATTTAAATGAGTACCAAAATTCCAATGCTGTCGAGTTGATTCCAACTCATAGTGTCTCTATAAGACAGAGTAGAACTGCCCCATAGGATTCTCAAGGCTATAAATCTTGACGGATGCAGACTGCCTCATTTTTCTCTTGTGGAGTAGCTGATGGATTCAAACCACTGACCTTTTGGTTAGAAGCTGAGTGCTTAAGCATTGTGCCACCAGGGGTCCTTTAAATGGGTATAGTTCTGCTTAATTCTTTAGGCAAATTTTAAATCTTGTAAATGACATATATATGGTATCATAGTTATCTAGTGCCGCTGTAACAGAAATACCACAAATGGGTGGTTTAACAAACAATTTTATTCTCTCACAGTTTAGGAGGCTAGAAGTCCAATTTCAGGGCACCAGCTTTAGGGGAAGGCTTTCTCTCTCTGCCAACTCTGGGGTAAAGTCCTTGTCTTTGTTCAACATCTGTGGGCCCAGCATCCCTTAGAGATCTCCATGTGTCTTGCTACCAGTCTTCTCCTGGGTCTAGGAGGTTCTGAGCTCTGGGACCCTGGATCCAAAGGATCCACTTTACTCCTGACTCTTCTTTTTCGTGGTTCTCAGGTCCCTCTTTCTCTGCTCCCATCTCTCTCCTTTTATCTATTGTAAGATTAAAGGTGATGCAGGCTACACCCCACAGAAATACCCTTTGGATCAGGGCTATGACCTGAGTAAGGATGTTGTATCCTACACTAATCCCCTTAGAACTGATTAGTTGAGCACATCATGGGGGATGATTATTACATACATGTGAAATTACATCATTACATAATTACCAAACCACTGAGAATCATAGCCTAGCCAAGTTGCACATATTTTTAGGGGAACACAATTCAATCCATGACACATACCAAGAAATTTTCTTTCAAAAAGACATCAGACTATATGAAAAGTGAATTTCTCTGTCTTCCCAGACACCCTCAGTCCCACCCCCAAAGGTAATCACCATCAAGTTTCTTTTGGATTCTTCTAGAATTTATA